GGGCGCGCCCTCCAGTGCCTCCGCCCACCTCGGCCTTGCCGGGGCTCGGTCGTGTTCCCCCTGCGCCAGGCCCTACCGGGGAGAGCTGGATTCGAAAGGCTGGGGAATAAAAATCCCGCCCAGCTGGCACTCTGGTGCCATGGGGCGAGTGCTATACATGCAGTTTGACACACTTTTTAAAGCATAAATACATTAAAGTCGAGGCTACTTCTGATCAGCACATTGAATTTCAAGAGTGTATGCATTGATTTTTCCATCTAAGTAGTAGTTATGTGGATTTTTATGGCCATGTGGAACTAAATTACTGTCTTTGCCAGCTACCTAGAAGGAAAGAAACCACTTATCTATATCATAAATAGAAAATTCCAACATACTCCATTATAATAACCAGAAGCTGATGACTTAATACGTTACCTGGATCAAAATCAACTTGGCAACATTCAGGACTGATCTAGTCTTTCATCCAGTCCCAAGTACAGCTCCTTTCCATCCTCTTTTCAGATGGGTTAGGGTGGAAGGGCAGTTTGTTATATGCAGAACACAGACACTTACTCCTTAAACTTAACCTTGATTTAATGTGGGTTTTTGTTTGGAATGGACATCAGCAAAGGATATGTTGTAGTCATTGGTGAATCTGCGAAATGAGGCTCTTTAGCACCATATGTGCAGCATCTGCTTTAGGATTTTTGTTAATAGAAGTTAGCTGATGTGTAAATTGTGCGTGCAGTTTGTATGATACTTTTCTACTTCTGATTTTACATGAGGTCTGACTTATATTGTCATTTGCTAAAGGTTTTTCTTTTGCCATTTCCCAAAATAATTCAGAAGCACTGGTATTCCTGACAGAAAGAGATACTGTCTGCTACTGTTACAGAGATTGAGTTCCACAAATGAGTTCCACATTTATAATCTTACCTGCGACAAACAGAGGAGACTGGGCACTAGGCTGAGAGTCCTGCTGGGATACAAAAATTAATCTAAATGAATCTATAATCTGAAGGCTACTTAAGATGTTGCTGTAAAATGCCAAAAGGGTACTGTAATGAAATCCTTTGAGAATGCACCAGGTCTTGAGGCATTGATGTATGTGAATAGAAAATTCAGTTGTTGGCTGGGGGAGATTTGTTCCAGCGGAGTTACCACTCAGCATAAAGCATATTTCCTGTTTACATTGCACTGACTGCAGAAATGCAGTAAAGTTTTGGCCTTTTGGGAATTCTGCAGAGCAAATCAAACCCGTGCTACTGTTGTTATACTAGGAGAAAACTATATTGTGGATTAATGTTCATTGACATTGTAATACTACCACTTCAATAGTAGTAAAAAATGCAGATTTCAATATTAGCCTGTAAAAGATAAGAACACTGCATACTGTTCTGAAATTTTGTTTGAATTTCTTTAAATAACAAGTTAAAGGTAATACTTAAATCATGTAAGTTATTTTAAAAAGCGTATTTAACACAAGTTTTACAAAAATGTGTTTATAGGTCATTATTTGTAATGTAGCTGCATCTGAAGAAATAGAAAGCGGCTTTGTGTCATGCTGACTAACAACATAGGGCATCATTTAATGGTACATCAAGCAATGATTCCAAGAAACCTGAAGCTGTTTCCCTGCATTTGTGGCAACAGAATGTTGTCAGGTTACAAACCTAAAAGCAGTGTCAAGGACTCTTACAAAATTCTTGAGCTTGAGGAAGGATGTTCCCTTGATGATATCAGAAACTCATATCGAAGTCTTGCCAAAAAATACCACCCAGACAGCGGTTCTGCCACAGCTGATTCTGAAGCATTTATGAAAGTAGAAGCAGCGTACAGAGTCGTGCTCAGTGATGTGGAGACCAAAAAGAAATCAAATGAGAATAATGAAGAGGAGGAAGATCAGTTCAAATCAAAAGCACCACAGCATAGACACTACTTGAGTTTTGAAGGCGTTGGCTTTGGAACACCAAGCCAAAGAGAAAAGCAATACATGCAGTTTCGAGTAGACCGTGCTACTGAACAAGTGTTGGAGTACCGGAAGCAGAGGCTTGAAAACCAGTGTGCTGGGGCTGACCTAATGAAAGCCAAAGACGTGAGGCAGAGCAAAAAGGTGAAAATAACTCAGGCAGTTGAACGGTTGGTTGAGGACCTCATCCAGGAATCGATGGCGAAAGGAGACTTTGACAACCTCAGCGGCAAAGGAAAACCTTTGCAGAAATTTTCAGACTGTCCACATATCGACCCAATGACTCACAACTTGAACAGGATTCTGATAGACAATGGATACCAGCCAGAGTGGATCCTGATGCAGAAAGAAATACGGGAAACTATTGAGCGGTTAAGGAGGGGTATAGTGGCATCTAGAAGTAAGCTTGGAAGGCCAATGACACCATATAGGCAAAAGGAGTGGAATCATATTTGTGAGCAATTTATAGAAGATATCAGGAAATTAAACAAAAGAATTGACAACTTCAATTTAGTTGTTCCTATTCTGAGCAGACAAATGGTGCACTTCAGTGCAGACAAAGAAATTGCTCGAGCACAAAAGACTTACGAAGCTTTGATGGAAAACAGAGAGGCTTCTAATTCAGACACAAAGGAAAATGAAGAGGAAAATGTTAAAAGGTTTGGGTGGAAGTCTTCTCTAGCTAAGTGGTTAAACCTTACACTGAAATAAGATAATACTACTTCATCTGTCTTGTCAAGATTTTGAATGCACTTTATGAATGAAAATTGTAGCACTAGAGAAATTAACAGGTACACTGAAAATGTGAAATCCAGCTGTCCTCTGTTAAACCAGTGAAAAGGAATTAGGTTGTCTGATGTGCATTTGCAGGTGCTTAATTGATTTATTTGTGAATATCATTAAGGAACAAATAAATTCAGTTATCCTCTTGCAGCTCATTTTACTTCTGCTTAAATCAAAAATTAATGCTTCACTTTAACATAATCACTTTTGCAGTCCGTTATCTCTTCAGAAGATGAAACTGAGGCATAGCAAAAACATGTTAAGGACAAAGTGGAAGTAAAAGTCTTGCTGTGCTCTGTCAGTTGAACCTTTATCCTTTCTTATTTAAATGCTTAGAGCTCATAAATTGTTGACAGGTTTCATGCATTTTTTTAAAAGTACGTTCATCTCTTCAAGGTTAAATGGGAATGAAGGGAAGGTTCTGGATGTCTGAACGTGGACTGTACATTCTGCAGAAGTCCATTTTTGGATCTGGCTTTTAAGAGAAAGAAGTCTCAGAATGCATCTGAGCAAATAAGGAAGACTGACCAAAACTGTATGCTGGTCACATGGCTCTTTGGAGGCAAGAGGAGAAGGGAATACTAATTTTCAAAAGTAATTGCACGTTTAAATATTTCAGACTATTAGCATCAAAGAACTTACTGTGAAGTATTGAAATTTCTAGGCAATGGCTTGGAGGGTGGGAAAATTTCCATGATGCCAAAGATTTATTTGTCTTTAGTAACCTCTCAGCTCCCCACACAATCTGATTTTCCTGGAGGTCTTTGCCTTTGCAAAGGTGTGACTGGATGTATCAGTATCTGTGTGAGCCCTGTTCCTCAGTCATGCCTCTGTGACTCGGACGTCTCCACCTGTGCAGGAGCTCTGCTGTGCCCGGCCAGTCCGTAGGAAGGTGTACCACAGGCTGTGGTTAGGCCACAGAGCAGGAATTTCCACTCTCAGGAGTTTCAGAGATGAAAAGTAGATGATGGTCTCAACCATCCTTTGGCAGATGCCCCAGCACCAGCAGAGTCTGGGTTAATGCGTTTGCTTTTGAGCCTGTGCTCCTTTTGGTCCTTGTGCTCTTGCTCATCTAGATTAGGCCTTCACATGCAAGCAGAATGTTATTGATGTATATTGGTAGAATGGATCAATTGAAGTATCATTTGTCAGGGGGTATTATATCATCTAGTAATGTAATTTAATGTATTTATTGTTAAACACTATAGGTCTTTCAAGCCTTTGTGTTAGGGCTAGTAAGTAATAATTACAAGATGTTTGTCATGTTTTAGAAAATAGGGCTAATCTCAGCTTCCTTTAACACACACCTTTCTGTAGGATTGAAGGTGGCCAAAGTAAGAAGAATGGCATTCTGTGCAGGCTGATCTGTTGCCCATAGGTCATGCCACTGGGATGCTTGTGCTGTGCTGTGCCCTGGTGTTAGCTGGAAGGATTAATGGCTATTTGTCCAGTCTGCTGAGATTCAGTTAGGAGGCAGGGGTACGCTTGTGGTGCATGGATCAGTGGGCCAGCCAGTAATTAGTATACTCCTCAGTGCCTCTCCCAAGTTTGCAAAGAAGGCCAGAAATAATGGGTGTCTTGCAGATACATGAGTTAAGTCCTGTATAGTGGTGAAGTGGGAACAAAACCTACCATGTAAGTAGCTCAAATCAAATGCAGAGAAAGAAAAATCAGGTTACACAGCAGTCCTGTTTTTCTGCGAACTCAGAATTCAGATTGCTGTAATTTCCTTCTTTTCTGTGAGATACAGATATGATTCACTGAGATCGGGGTGTTAGACCTTTTGATACCAGAAGGCTTTGACCTCGTAAGCTCCTCACTCGTTTTAGCAGCTGTGTGTATGAATGTCTGTTTATTTCAATAACTTATCTATGCATTCTTGCTTTTAATGAAAACTAAATTAAACACACTTTTGTGGAAGTCCTTTGACATAGTACTTGATCAGGTTTTGATTCTCATTATGATCAACAGGAACTGGATCTGAATTGCTGTTTAAACTAATCCAGGGACAGATTTAAAAAGAGGTAATTGCAAATCAAATTCGTTGCACAAGAGTAAATAGAAACCAGATTGCAATAATCCAGCTTTGACGGAATTCACTTTGGCTCACAATGAAGATAAGTATCAGCAGTTTAAATATTTAAGTTGTCATAATGGATGAGTCAGCATACTGAGTGATTTTATGTTCCTTTTAAAACTACTTGGTCTTAAAAGGCAGAGATGTGACCTGAGTCTCAGCACTCTAAATCAGCCTTACACTTATGAAAAATTGCCAGGCACAAAAATCCACTTCGTCAACATTTATGGCAATGATGCTGAAAAAAATAATTCAAATTTTTATTTTCCTCAGGTGTGTGGAGGAGTATATTTTTGCAGGGCTGGTCTATTTTTTTGTTTCTCTGAGCTCACAAAATCTTAATAGCAGTGTTTAGTACTTCTAGAACAAGTAATGCCAAGTACTGCATACGTATTAGAAAAACCCAGGAGAGAATGGCCTTCAGAAGTAATTTTTCTGTCTGACACTAAACTCTTAATTTGAATTTGATAACTGTTATCTTGTTACTGACCTCAAAAGGATGAAATCATTGCCGATTCCAGATACAAATACATGCTGCTTATTCCCAGAACACCCTGTGTGTTGGTCTAATTACCATACAGCTTGTGGCTTGAAAGGCTTATCTAGATGACACCATAATATTAAGATAAAATAATATTTATTATTAGGCTATATTAATTGAGGTATCAGTTTTTCTCAGGGTGAGGAATCTGTTTCTTGCCCAACGATCTGATTGTTCTTCCAAGCACTATTAGCAAGCTATACAATGATGCATGTTAGTGCTTTCCAGTCAAAGGAAGAGACATACAGCTATAGGCTATCTGAAATAACATCTCAGGCTGTCCTATAAACTGGAGAGTTTCTATGTATGCTGTAAATATTGAAGCCTTGTGGTTTAACCCCAACTGGCAACTAAGCACCATGCAGCCTCTTGCTCACTCCTCCTGCCCCAACCCCCAGTGGGATGAGGAAGAGACTCAGAAAGACAAAAAAGTAAAACTTGTGGGTTGAGATAAGAACGGTTTAATAATTGAAATAAAATATAACAATAATAATTATGATAATAATAATGAAAAGGAGGGTAACAAAAAGAAAGAGAAGTAAAATGCAAGAAAGACAAGTGATGCACAATGCAGTTGCTCACCACCCGCTGACCAATGCCCAAGCAGCGATCAGCCCCCCACGGTCAACTCCCCACCGTTTATATACTGAACATGACATCCTATGGTATGGAATATCCCTTCGGCTGGTTCAGGTCAGCTCTCCTGGCCATGCTCCCTCCCAGCTTCTTGTACACCTGCTCACTGGCAGAGTACGGGAAACCAAAAAATCTTTAACAGCAACAACCAAAACATCAGTGTGTTACCAACATTAGTCTTACACTAAATCCAAAACACAGCACTGTATCAGCTACTAGGAAGAAAAATTAACTCTGTCCCAACAAAAAAGAGGACAGGCCTGCTGAATATCTTTCAGCATAATAACAGCTCTCAAGATCCATATGGAGTTAGGGAAAAGGCTCTGAGGAGAAGGAATAAAAGTCATGAGGAGCAAGAGCAGGGAATGATGTAAGAGACAAAAACAAGTGGTAAATCTTTATTCTTAGTGGGAGAAACTGTCACTATGAGGGAGAAGGGGATGTGTGGTACCTTCCTTAAGATATTTCCCTATCAGTTGTGTTTCCTTGGATGTGGCAACCACATAATTTACCTTCCCACAGCTGAGATCAGCTGTTAAGAAAACAGAAATGTGTGTGCACGTGTGGGCGTGGGAGGGGTGATAGGAAGGGCCGGGAAGGAAGACAGGAGATTAGGGGGAAGGCAAACATCCTGTAATGCTTCCAGATAAGGATGAGAAGGCGGTGGCACATGTATTAACAGGGATGGAGCTTGAAGAGCAGGCACATGTGAATTACAAAGAAAATTGGCTATGATCCTTTTCAGTGAACAAGAAGGCAAGAGTTTCGTTACAAACTGTTTCTTCACAGTATGGTTCTGAGCATCACGAGTAAGAAACAGCTGTTCCTCTTGATCCTCTCTGCAGTGGGTAGCCTCTTCTCTGGGCCAGATAAAGTGGGAAAGGAGGAGCTTCTTCAAAAGAAAACTGGCTTAGCTAAGCCCTGGTGGACACAGTGAGCACATAACTGAAGGAAAAGAGGAGGGGAGCTGAAAGAAGAGGGCTTTGGATGCAACTTTTAACTTTGAGTGGGATTTCATAGGGCCACTGTCTTCTAATGAGAAACGGAAAATTCTGTGGCTATTTGGTTGCATCTTTACAGGCCTTTTTCACAGTGCTCCTTTTCTTACTTATTGCCCCATATTACTCTTCATCATTCTTGAGCAATACCCTTGAAACGCCTTCCTCTTTTGTTTATCCTTTTCCACTCTTAAATTTTTACCTCTCACTTTTCAGATTGATTCTGTACTTAATTTCACCACAGTGTTAGTTTTCAAGACTAATCACCTTCCTAAATTCAGTGCTTAAATTAATTCAATTGCAGCATTTTCCCTCAGTATCCCCAAAATCTTGATATCAAATCTTTTATCATAGGCAACAGTCTGTGTTTTACAAGATGATAATTCTTACCTCCTGTGCTGGTATGGCTCTCTTTCCAATGCTTTGGCAAGAAATAGCCCAGAAAGC